AATTTATAAAATACTTTTTACAGGCTTGATACTCTTTTTAAAAATTATTCCTTATACCAATCTTGAGTTAGGAATCATTACTCCCATTTTATGGATGAAAACACTCAAAGAAGACAATTTATCTAAGGCCATACAGCTATGGATGATGGAAACTGGACTCAAATTCAGGGCCTCTAATGCCAAATTCCACACCTTGTTAACTACACAAGTCACCACTTTCCTGCACGCCAGACAGTTAATTAGACTTGATGGCACTGAATCCATTCAAGTGAGATTACAGTGAGCTGTGTCACTCCTGGGATGATATAGAAACCAGGACAGGATGCCACCTCTCTCCAGGGGGGTGGAAGAAAGATCAGGGGCTTCCATTTGCATGAAGGTCAAAAAACAGGTAAAACCCAACAAAATATAAAATTCAGGATGGTGCTTCCTCTGGAGGCCACCAGGAAGGTGTGCATCATGCTTCAAGGCTGCTAGCAACATTCTATTTCTCAGGCCAGGTGGTGGGTACCTGGGCTTGTGTGAATCCTCAAACCAGATGTATATAGATGACATGTTTGTATATAAGCCTGCAGCAAAGAGACAGCTAAACTTTTGCCTAAGAAATGTTAAGGTATTTGGAAGAGGAGGAGAGCAGAGAGGAGAAAGAAGGAAAAGAGGGCCAGAGGCTGGAGAACCAGGCAAGAAATCTGGTGGCAAGGGAAGGAAAACAGAGCCTGGTGTCTGGAGCCCAGATTCTAGAGCAGGACAGATATGCATTTAAATCCCAATTTCTTCTTTCAGGAGCTGGGTAGGCAAGATCTACGTAACCTCTCTGGGCTTCAATTTTCTCAGCTGTGAAAGTGGGACAAAAATAGGTCCATCCTAAGGCTGTCAGAAGAATTAAGTGACATAAAATATGTACCACCCAGGGTGGTGCTGGCCATATAATTCATTGCCTTCCTTTCCTTTCTTACTATGCCTCTCCCTTTCTCCAACACAGCTAAGGCTAAAAGCAGCCCAACTGCTCTTCTTCCTGTTGAGTTATTTATAAGTAACTCTGGCCCCCTGCGAGAGGCCTGAAAAGGAGCGCTGCTGTCCTCAGGCTGGTACGCTGGGCGGTGGTGACAGGCCTGTGTGATCAGAGGGCGGTGGCTCCTGGTTTAGACGGAAATGCTGTGCTACAGGTACTTTCTTCTAACTGCAGGACTTTTCAGCCCCGGCCACGATGTTTGCTGTCGGCTGACGGAAAAGTCTTCCTCAATTTATGGTTCATACCCCATCCTTCTGAAGTGCTGGTTATGTTCAAAACTCTGCCAGAAGAGGTTTGTATTTTTTTAATGTGTACCAAGTGGAAACTGGCTTTTTTTTTGTCTCGTGGTTAAACACCAATTCCACAGAACATCCTTTGTTTGTCTCAGAGATATCTAATAACTAAAATCTTTTCACAGCTCCTAACACTTTTGCTGCTTTCTTATAATTTCTTTTGGGCCTCATTATTTCACGATTTCTGTTTCTCCCTGGTCACTAATGAACATTAATTCAGGCTTCTAACATTCCTTTTTAATCCTTAATTTCCTCCCAAACTCTTCAAAAAAATCCCACCCTGGTGCCCTGAAGCT